TCCTTCGTCTGCTTTGCTCACTGGCCCATCCCTAGAGCTTAAGACAGTGTCCAGCACGTATCAGGCACTCAACAAATGCACTGCCCAAATGAATGAATGCCCAGGGGGTCACTTGACTCATCATATCAAGGTTTTGTCTATTTGATCTTAGAAGAGCTCCTGAGTTCCTATTTCCACTTACCCCAGTCCACCTCTGCCTGCCTCTGTGGTTTTTATACTCTCTGCCTGACTGCTTCTGTTTCCTTGGCAACACCTTTCTCTTCATTTCCCTCTTTGTCTTCAAGGCTGGCTCACCTCTGTGAGGGCTAAATCACCTTTCCTTAGGCTTGTTTTCATTTTTCTGGTACATTCTGTTTTCCTTCTTTTTTTGCTTCTCTGACTGAGCCACTTAAATTTTGTGTGTGGGTGAGTATTGGGGAGCAAACCACATCTCCAGCCCCATTTTTAAAATAATTTTGAGACACAATCTCCCTAAGTGGCCCGGGCATGACTTGAACTTGTGATCCTCCTGTTTAAGCCTCCTCAAGTAATGAGATTACAGGCATGTGCTACAACACCCAGTCACTTACACTCTAGAACTTTCTCTGTTTCTCTGATTTGTGGATAGATTCCTGTCCTCCCCATCATGGGTACTAACTGCCCATCTCAGACCTCTCTCCCTCCACCCCCCTCGTAGGCCTCCCTGGAGCACGAGGAGGGCAAGATCCTCCGAGCCCAGCTGGAGTTCAACCAGATTAAGGCAGAGATCGAGCGGAAGCTGGCAGAGAAGGACGAGGAGATGGAGCAGGCCAAACGCAACCACCTGCGGGTGGTGGACTCGCTGCAGACCTCGCTGGATGCAGAGACGCGCAGCCGCAATGAGGCGCTGCGGGTGAAGAAGAAGATGGAGGGCGACCTCAATGAGATGGAGATCCAGCTCAGCCATGCTAACCGCTTGGCTGCAGAGGCCCAAAAGCAAGTCAAGAGCCTCCAAAGCTTGCTGAAGGTACATGGAGACTTCTGGAAGCATACAGTCACCTCGCTAAGAGAGGGGACTGGCTTTCATGTCCTCTACAAAGACCTAACTCAGCAGCTGATCAGGTCGTAGTGTCCCCCCATCCTTAAGTCATTGCAGAGACCTCTAACAGCCCCATCCTATGGCACCACGATGGGCTTCCCATCCACATCCATTTTCCACAAAACAGCCTTGTGAAGGCAGTGTGGCCATCTCACGCCCATTCTCCTGATCCTCAGGACACCCAGATCCAACTGGATGACGCAGTCCGGGCCAATGATGACCTGAAGGAAAACATCGCCATCGTGGAGAGGCGCAATAACCTGCTGCAGGCTGAGCTGGAGGAACTGCGTGCCGTGGTGGAGCAGACAGAGAGGTCTCGCAAGCTGGCTGAGCAGGAGCTGATCGAGACCAGTGAGCGGGTGCAGCTGCTGCACTCCCAGGTTAGGCAGCACCCCTTGCACTCTCTGGAGGAGCTCAGGCTGGCAGACTGAGAGCATGAGGGTGGGAGCCACTCAGTCCCTTTCCTCTGTGCCCACTCTCTACCCCTAGAACACCAGCCTCATCAACCAGAAGAAGAAGATGGATGCAGACCTGTCCCAGCTCCAGACTGAAGTAGAGGAGGCAGTGCAGGAGTGCAGGAATGCTGAAGAGAAGGCCAAGAAGGCCATCACAGACGTGAGTGCCTCTTCCCCCAACTCCCTGGCTCCAGGCAGCATCACCCTGGACAAGGCAATGAAGGTTTCAGAACTGTGCAGACCGTGTCTCTCTTCTCTCCCGTGCACAGGCCGCCATGATGGCGGAGGAGCTGAAGAAGGAGCAGGACACGAGCGCCCACCTGGAGCGCATGAAGAAGAACATGGAGCAGACCATCAAGGACCTGCAGCACCGGCTGGATGAGGCCGAGCAGATCGCCCTCAAGGGTGGCAAGAAGCAGCTGCAGAAGCTGGAGGCCCGTGTGCGGGAGCTGGAGAACGAGCTGGAGGCTGAGCAGAAGCGCAACGCGGAATCAGTCAAGGGCATGAGGAAGAGTGAGCGTCGCATAAAGGAGCTCACCTACCAGGTGCGGGTGGAACTGTGGCTCTGGCCCTGGTATGGTGGCCTAAAGCCACAGGGACGAGCACCTGAAAGAAATGAAGTGTTTGCTTTCAGCTCTTCTGTGGGGGGAAGGGCTGGAGTGTGGCCCTTGTCTTCCCTGTTCCTTGTCTGGCCAGCCCCACTGCAGGGTCCCCTGGCTCAGAGGTCAGTTCCTAGCCCCCTGGCCTATGTGCTCTATGTCAGCCTGTCCCCTAGGGACACACCCAGAACTCCAGGTTGGGCTCACCCATCATAGCACCCTAGGAAGCACACATGTAACCAGGATCACCAAGAAGACATCAAAGGAACACCAAAGCCATTCAGAAAAATCTCAGCGCTTCTCAGTTACCCAGGGCAGGGAAGACTCCAGATTTCTATGCTGTTTTCTAGAGTTAAACTCTCAGCTAGGATTTGCTTCTATTCCAATCCAGGATGTCACTTTCCTCTAAGCACATTTTGTCCTTAGCCTAGATCAAGTCCATGTCATCTCTACCACAGCCCAGGAAATTCCATCACGCTCACACGAACAAAGTCACTCCCAGCACATGCTGGGCTCCAGAGCCAGGGACTTTATCCTCCATGGGGACTCAGGACCCTCAGAGGCCTGCTCCCTGAAGGATACACACGCAATTTTGTGCATAATTTCAGGAATCCCATCAGTTCCTTAGATTCTTTCATTTAAAATACTCACTATTTTAGGTAAGAAATTATAAGGCCAATTCAAGTGTTTAGTGAAGATCAGAAAATAGACATACTTCAGACATTACCTTCAGTGTAAAGAAAACTAAAGCTGGAGTGCGGGTGCTGTCCCCCGTGACTGTACCATCTCATTCCTGCCCACCCACCATCCCACAGACTGAAGAAGACAGGAAGAACCTGCTGCGGCTGCAGGACCTGGTAGACAAGCTGCAGCTGAAGGTCAAGGCCTACAAGCGCCAGGCTGAGGAGGCGGTGAGTGACCCTGCCGAGGTCAAAGCCTGTAGGAAGGGCCCAAGGGAGCCAGCTCCTGGCTTGAGGCTAAGGGGCCAGGCCCCCTCTCACCTCCTCCTCCCTCTGCCCGCAGGAGGAGCAGGCCAACACCAACCTGTCCAAGTTCCGAAAGGTGCAGCATGAGCTGGATGAGGCGGAGGAGCGGGCAGACATCGCTGAGTCCCAAGTCAACAAGCTGAGGGCCAAGAGCCGCGACATTGGCACCAAGGTGGGTGCCTCCCCTGGTCACCTCCACAGCAGCCACACCTCCTCTCCTGGCTTCTGACAGAGCAGCCTCACCCCAGGGGTGCCTCCTTTTGATAGATTCTCCAAGTGATCCAGTAAGACCCAGAGGCCAAGATAATGAGTGCTCTGTGATTTTTAAACTTCTTCCTGCCCAAGCACTCAGTGATTCTGTGAACCCAAGCCCTAGAGTAGTCAGCAAGCAACTCTACAAGACCCCAATTTATATACACCCCATATTTTCCAGTATGTACATTGAATGCAGCCTCCACCCACCCAGTTCCCTGGTCTCACCATTGTTTTCCATACTCCATTCCTGTACCACCTGCCTCTCCAGAGCTAATTTGGACTTTTTTTCTTTCCAAAAGGGCTTGAATGAAGAGTAACTTTGCCACATCTTGATCTGCCCAGTCCTGAGGGTGCCAATGAAGCCCCTATCCCTGGCACCTGCATAACAGCCCCTTGGGAGGAAGCAGAATAAAACAATTTTCCTTGAAGCTGAGACCTGCCTTGATTCTTCACTGCCTACTACCCATGAGGCCAGGGCGGGGGCAGGGATGGGCCTTGGGAGTGGGGAGGTGAACAATTCAGAGGAAGAGTGGCAGCTTCAAAGGCCAGGCTAAGGGGCCACTCCCAGGAGCCTGTGAGGCTTGGACGGACCCTCCTAGGGTAAACCTAGGCAGGGGGGACTCTCCTCCACTCACTCTGACCAAGTGCAACAAAGAAGTGACACCTCCCTTCCCAGCCCTCTCTGTGGCCTGGCACCCTGAGAGGTGAAAAGGGGACTTACAGAGACCCTCTAAATTCACTGAGAGCCTGCTGAACACCTGTACTCCTGTAATACAGCTCTGACAACGCTGGGGCCAGGGGAGGAGCTTTGGAGTGTAAGAGCTTGCAGAGGTGTGACCCACCTGAGGTAGTGGCCCCCTAAAACTTCCCCACACAAGTCTCGCGTGAACACAAGGATCACAGTTGTCATTCACACACCCTTCCAGACACGGCCAGCCTCATCCCTCTCCTCACTCAGGCCAGAGGAAAGCACCCTTAGCCCACTGTCCTTCCTTCCTTTTGGCTCTCCTTCCAGGGCTCAGTGCCTGGGGTGCAGAGTCCCCCATTTGTCTCTCATTTCTCCCTGTGTAACTTGTATGCAAGAGGCCTCACTCCTCTGTGGTTGCTAGAAAATGGAGTTCTTTGGCCCATGTATGGCAAGCCATCTCAGGGGATACAGGCAGAGGAAGGATTAGGGAGGGTAGAGTGCGTGCAAGACTCCAGAGAGAAGAACAGGGACAGGCTGGGAGGTGGAGGAAGGCGAATCCCCCTGAGCAAGTTCAGCCTCTCTGATGTTGCTGCTACAGCTGGTCTCCTTAAGGCACTGTGGGCTTGGGAGGCAGCGAGACTCATGCTCCCTCTGGGAATCTGGGACAGCCCAGAACTGACTCTCCCCTCAGCACCCTCACCCCTGCCATGCACAGCTCTCCTCCCCATCCCTCACTGGGCTCTGCACTCTGCGCAAAGCAGCCAGAGCAAGGGCCTTGTGCCAGGAAAAAGGCAAAGCCAGTATTGAGAATACAGGTAAGGGCAGAGCAAAGAAAAGGAATACAGAAGTGGAAAGGAAGGAAAGGAGCAGGAGAGACGGTGTAGTAGAAAAAGATGGGGAGGACATGGCAACAGTATGAGCAGAGGAAACAGACACAGGAGATACCGGACATGAGGAGACCTTGGAATCAGCCGGGCCCTCCAGCTTCGGCCTCACACACATACCGCCCCCGTCTTCCTCCCCAGGACCGCTCTTCTGCCTAGGAACAGAGTTGGAGAACATTGAAGAGATCAGTAGAGAATAGAGGGCTCACTGAAGGGGGAGGTGTGCCGAGAAGCCCGGAGAATCTGAGCAACCAGCACCTAGGAAAGCAAGCACTATAGCTGCTGTGGGATCAGCAGGGTGCAGACGCTGAGCCCCCAGGGAAAAATGATGCTGTTGGAGCAGAGAGATGAGGAAATGAGGGGGAGACTTGGACAGAGAAACTCAGGAGCTAACACTGGACAAAGACCCTTGGGTCACCTTCGGATGCAACAGTCAGAAAACCCAAGGAGCAGGAGGCCAGAGAGAGGCAGAGGAACCTTGAGAAGATGCATCGGTAGAGTTGAGCCAGCTGAGAGCCCCAAAACTCAGTTTAAAGAAAGTAGAGTCTCATGTCAGGCGCTCAATGGGCAAAGATACAAGCCCAGGAGAATCAGCAGCCGGGTCTGACTCTGAGATAGGGAAGCAGATAGAGGGTAAGGAAGGTCAGACACAGGGACAGATAGAGACATTGGGAGCCAGGCAGAAAAGGAGTGACCTGTGCCAAGGTTCCAGCCTCCCAGTCCCTCTCACCTGTGGCCAGAGTCTTCACCTTGTGGCCGCATGCTCCAGATTTCCAGTAGAATGCAGGGTGGGCTTGGGAGGCCGCTGAGGCAGGGTGGAGAAGAGTGAGAGTCAGGGAGAAGAGAGGGGCCAGTAAAGTAAGAGGGCATCAAACCAGACCAGACAGTGGCCCAGAACCAAGTTAATCCCTTCCTTCTCCCCCCTCCCATAGGAGCCAGTCGGAAAAGCCTGCCCACCTCTCACCCCACCAGCACCTCTATCAAGTTTGGCCTGCTCAGTACATTGGGTTCCCTGAGGACAGAGCCTGGTTTTTGTCACCTGGACCTGACCCAGCCTGAACTGGTGTTCTGAGCCCCTTATCATGTCCCCAAGGCAATGGGAACCCGCAGTGACGCACTGGATCATGGACTAACCCCCAGCTCGTGCACTGGGACCTTGAATGACCTAGGGCTGGGATGAGAGTCCTGTACGCCCTAGGGGTAATGGTTTGGCATATACATCCACAGGAGGTGAGGATGTGGGGTTGACCTGGGTCCTTTAGAGATGGTGAATACAGGGTACAATTCTCTGGAGAGAATGTGCATTCTTCAGCCCTATGTGGGGCAGCCAAGTGTTCTAGAGGTTGATGACCTCTCAGGGAAGCCACATCTTTAATGGATAGTGCCACCACCAAAAAACCGACCCTTGCCTGTCTTAGCCACCTCCACACCCTAGAGCTATATTGAGAGGTGCTGGTAGACAGGGTTGGAGGGGGAGCTGAAGAGTGCTCCTGGGTGTGAGGGTGTGTGGGAAAGCCAGAGCAGGGGAGCCTGGCTTTGTTCCCTGAACACAATGTCCACTTAGTCACAACAGGCACAGCCTACTGAGGACCCAACACCTGTGGCCTGTGACAAGGCAGCACTAGGGGGTGCAGAGGGGTGGTGTGAGGGCCTGGGCACATGAGGACACCATGAAGAAGGCCATGTGAGTATGAGCACCAGAAGGGCTGGCACAGGATGTCGAGGTTCTACCTGGGGAGTGAAGTCAGCAGAGCCCCTCCCCCCAGAGAATGCAGAGCCTGGGACCCAACTGGTGTAAATCCCCAGGACTGCCCGAGCCCCAGCCATCCGCAGCAGCACCTGCATCCTCTGGCAGCCCAGTGAGGCAGAAGGGAGCAGCACCCCCCCTCCTCCCGCAGGCTCGGGATTAACACCTCTGTACAGCCGTACCCCACCCACACTACCAGGGGAGCATGCCAATGGGAGGGTAAAAACCCATTTGTGCAAATGCGGGTGTGCAAATAGGTGCATCAGTGTGGGTAAAAGCAAGTAGGGGCGTCAGTAAGCTTAAGTAAGTTGGGTAAGTAAAAATCTGCATGTGTGTGGCACATGCCTCGTAACCTGGGTAGAAGCCAGGCTCAGGATTAGTGTAGAGTCAGGACAGCACAGAAATTCTTTTCCTGACCAAGGGGAACTGAGTCATGGAGCTGAAGAGTGCATGCCCAGTGCTGCGAGACTCCAAGTCCAAGGAGCAGAGGCGTGAGGACAGCTAGTGTGGAGTGGGGGAGAACCAGGCAGGGGAACCGGAGGTTGGGGGACAGACAACAAGCTTTTGGCTTAGAGGAGAAGGTGACCCTCACCCAGTGTGCTCAATTCACCCTTCAGATTAAAAATAACCGAGGTAAGCACTATGGCGGGGAGGGGGAGGTGGTGAGAGAAAGCCCTGTCTTCCCACTATCTACCCATCGGCCTTTGGAGGGGAGGAATGTGCCCAAGGACTAAAAAAAGGCCCTGCAGCCAGAGGGGCCAGGGCGACAGACCTTTCATGGGCAAACCTGGGGGCTCTGGTGTCCTCCTGTCACCTCCAGAGCCAAGGGATCAGGAGGAGGGGGGGGCAAGGGGTGGAAGGGAGGGTCCCCCCGGAAGGACTCCAAATTTAGGCAGCGGGGTGGGGGGGTGAGATATAAAGGAGCCGGAGCTTGGCGGACAGGCGGAGACTCCTCCAGCCCAGGTGAGAGAGAGTTTGGGGTAGAGGCTCCGCACCTAGTCCAGGCAACCCTCACCCAGGGGGTGGGGGGACCCTGCCTTTCCTGAGAGCAAGGTACAGGTCAGTCAGAGCTTCCAGAGCTGCCTTTCCTCCCAGGAAGTCGCCTCTGGCAACTCCAGAAACTTTTTCTTAGACTTTCCCTTTCTCCACCTGCACCATCTGTCTGCTTGTGCGCTGCTCCCTTCCCTCCCTCCTTCGGATGCCTCCTTCCCACTGTCTTGGTGTTTATCTTGCTTCTTGGTCTGTGTCGGTATCACCCCAATCACTTTTTCTGCCTGTCATTCTCCCTTTTCTTTCTAATCCCCCTGTCTGTTTCTTCCTGTATCCACATCCCATCCCAGCCTTTCCATTCTCACTAGCTCTGCATCTGTGTGTGTGCGTGTGTGTGTGTGTGTGTGTGTGTGTGTGTGTGGCACTGAGGTAGAAGTCAGGGCCTCGTGCATGGTAGGCAAGTGCTCTCCCACTGAGCCACATCCTCTGTGTCCTTTCTGCTCTTCCCTATGGTTCTGTACCTCTGCCTCCTTCCCGGCATCTGTCTGCTCTGTGGAGCCTGGCTATCAGTGTCGAGCTCTTTCTCCCAGCTAACCCGCCTCTGTTGCTCTTTTTTCTGCCGTTCTTTCTGCCTGGCTGCATCTCTGGAGTGTCTTGTTCTACCTGTGCTCCTGATTCTGCAGGATTCTCTGTGAAGAAACAATCAGGTGAGAGCCATCCCAGTGTTCTCTGCAGACCCCAGATTGCTGGACCAGGAGCCCGATTGCTGGATCAGGGGCCTCATCTCTGGCCCAAACAGCTCAGCACCTTTCTTTGGAAAACTCCAGCCAATCCCACCTACACAAACCCTTTCCTGAGTCTCTGCTAAAGATGATTCATGGCAAGGGAAGCAGAAATTCAAGGGGAGAGGGTGGGTCCAGACAGGGCCCTACAGGCTGGGGATTTAGGTCAGTGGCATAAGCCCCTGACTTGCAAGTGTGTGGTCATGAGTTCGATCCCCAGTACTGATAAAAAAGAAAAAGACAAAAAAAAAAAAAACCAGACAGGGCCCTAATGGGGTGGAGATAGGAGAGCAATAAGACCCAGTAGGATAAAGAACAAGGCCACCTCCAGAAGCCTGGACCCAACTCAGGAGTAATGGCTCCTCCTGTCTTGGCCTCAGAAAAGCCACAGGATGACAGACTCCCAGATGGCCGACTTTGGGGAGGCTGCTCCGTACCTCCGGAAGTCAGAAAAGGAGCGTCTGGAGGCCCAGACACGGCCTTTTGACATCCGCACTGAGTGCTTCGTGCCTGACGACAAAGAGGAGTTTGTCAAGGCCAAGATTGTGTCCCGGGAAGGGGGCAAGATCACTGCTGAGACAGAGAATGGCAAGGTGCGTGGGGTACAGGGCAGGGCAGGGGGAGGGAAGGTGTTAGGAGAAGGGACACGTCTGGAGCCACCTATACAGGTCCCAGAAGTCCAGATCTGAGCCTTTGCAGCGGGAGCAGGGCAGGTATATCGGGGCATCACCCTAAGGATGTAAGCATCTTACCAGAGGGATGCTGGGAACGGTCTGGGGGCAGCTGTTTTTCTCTGCAGAGAGGCCTTGTAGATAGAGGCACAGAAATAGCATTAAATGAAGCTTTCCTTCTTGCATGATGTCCATTTTCCCTGTGTCTCAGTTTCCCCCATGAGTCCACTTTCTCAAATTCCCCTCACCTAAATAGGAGCAAATTCTTAGATCAGTGTTGAGCTCAGAGTTCAGTGCTAGGGCCAGTGATAAGCACTCAGAGATCCCTACTGCCTGGGTCATTCATGCTAGCCATGAGAATTGCTTCAGGTAACCAGCAGGGTTCAGAGAGGTGACCTCTCCAACCTGTCAGCTGAATGTTGCCTCTCACTGAGATTGGAAGAATGGGCCACAACCACAGGGACTTTGACTCATCTCAGATCTGCCACCAGAAGGTCACTGTGCTGGCAAATCATGTGGTCAGTTAGAGCCACAGCCAGTCTTCTCTACTACAGAACTGCTGGAATTCCTCCTGGCAGGATCTAATGAGATCAGGCCAAATTGCAAATTGACTGGTGCCAATCAAACCACACCAACAGTGACTGACAGGCAATGCAGGCAAGGCACTGATGCCCTCAAGCACTGCCACAGGAGATGGCTCCAGGGTCAGGGTGTGCTGTGCACAGAGCTGAGAACTGCCAATCCCCAGGTTTGCCCCGAGATACTTGAAACATGGGGACTGGGAGGTGACCATCACTGGTGACAGAGCCTGGAGAACTGGCAAGATAAAGGGCTCTATGCTGGTCTCTAGGATGGGAGAGACTGCAGGAAGATTAGCTGGGGACAGTGTCCTGGGCAAGTTTTGCCTTAGGGGCTGGAGCACTGGCTAGTAAAGAGCTAGGGAGCAAGGCAGAGTCCAGGATGTGTCTTTGGGAAAAGGTAGGAGGGCAAGGCTGGCAAAAGAGGGCTGACAAGGGCATTGGTGAGAATATGGTCACCCCATCCTACCACTCCATGCTCCCTCCCTAGACGGTGACGGTGAAGGAGGACCAGGTCATGCAGCAGAACCCGCCCAAGTTCGACAAGATCGAGGACATGGCCATGCTGACCTTCCTGCATGAGCCCGCAGTGCTGTACAACCTCAAGGAACGCTACGCAGCCTGGATGATCTACGTGAGTGGCGGCTGCTTCCTGCAGGGACAGAAGTTTAAGCAGTCCAGGGGGACAGGATTGGGATTGTCCCAGGGCCCCCCTCCACTCCCCATCCACTGCCGGGCAGCTGCAGAAAAAGAAGATCTAGCTAGAGTGACCTGGTATGACCTGACTGCCCCTGCTGGCTGGCCTGGGTTCTCCTCACCAATCTCATGCCTTGCCCTGTCTCTTGATCCAGACCTACTCAGGCCTCTTCTGCGTCACTGTCAACCCCTACAAGTGGCTGCCAGTGTACAACGCTGAGGTGGTGGCTGCCTACCGGGGCAAGAAGAGGAGCGAGGCCCCACCCCACATCTTCTCCATCTCCGACAACGCCTATCAGTACATGCTGACGGGTGAGCCTGGCACCCAGCCTGTGCCCCCCAGCCCCACACAGGCCTGGGCCCTCAGCGCTGACCCCGTTGCCTCTCCTCTCTTCCAGATCGCGAGAACCAGTCCATCCTCATCACGTGAGCGAGCACCATCTACCCCTAGGGGCTGGGGTGCAGTCCCCCTGGCTGATTGCTG